TTTTTAGTGTCTATGTCACCACATTCAGAGTTGTATTTACCCTGATTTTTATAGCAAATAGAATTACAAGTTCGGAATAGATTTTTTTCCCAGGTTTGATTTTCTCTTTTCAAAGCAAGGTTAAAAGACAGAAGAATTATACCGAAGCTCATAATAAGAAAGTGAGATTGAAAGAGGGTGGAACTAACTTGCAAAGTTGCCAGAAATATTTTAAACACTAGTTTTCCTAAAAGTCTTATACAGGAGTCTTCTTCCTAGTCTCCCATTTTCCAGCATAACTCTCTCCCCTTGCCTTCGTACAATCCGCGCCTCCCCCCTTGAAAGCAGCCCGGTACATTACAGGCTTTTTTGGCTGAGCCATAGCAATGACTAAGCTATGGGAAAAGCCTCCATTCAGCTATACTGTAAAGGAAAATGTGGGTGGGGGAACTGGGCTTTCAGGGTCGAAGGCATTCAGCACTTGGGTGGCACTGTCGCAAAGAGGAAAGAGGAAGACTCAGCCTCGCGAGCCTGGGATGGGAGGTTTTTCAGATTTCCACTCTGCAGCCGTCCCTCTGGGGCTGGGCAGGCGACAGTGCGAGCGAGAGTGTCATTATTTGACTCAGCATGTTCCTAAGCCACAAAAGAGAAGTGACGTATATAAAAAGCATATTGCTCACTCTTATCTGATCAGAGGGATATCAAGGAGTTTTCTCCACTGCCTAGACATAAAGGAAGTTGTTCTTTGTCCTTATATTTCACTTTCTCTGTCAGCATACCTTTCTTCAAGCAATTATTTTGACCTTATAGCCTCTAACACAAACCAGATGACTACACAGTTTTAGAGACATGATATGCAACCACCTGCTACCACATTGCCAAATACCTATTGGTTCGCTTCCCATTCTAATTACTCCACCAACTTTAAAACTGATTTCCAGTATGATAGATTTAATTTAGGAATATCTCAGATAGAGCCATCTCACCTCCCATGAATTTGGTGGAGGTTTGCCTCCACCAAATCCACAAATTATCCTGCTGGACCAGCAAATGAATCAAGTCTGCCATATTTCTGCGATGCTTCTGGTAGAAAACGACCATGCTTCACTTACTACTTGCTACCCAAATGGTCTCTGGTACTATTGCACAGCCATTCTTTCACACAGTGGGTTTTATTGTAAAATACGCAGTGGTCTTCATCACAGTCAACCTCTTTATCTCCTCTAATATCATAAACTGGCTTTTGCAGTGAAGTGCTGTACAAGAAGGTTTGTTTTGTTAGGACCACAAACAGCACACACAACCTGCCAGCCATCAGCAGGGCTCTCCCACTTGGACTCAGTTAGCAAGATCATTCAGTAAACGTGAAGGGATAACCACAGCCTAACATAACAGCTTTGCTTAAATACAAAGCTTGTGATGACTCAAACTCCTCAAAACAGTGCTCATCAGGCTTCAGCTTCGTTCCGTGGATTTAAAGCTGCCTTTGCCTGCCATTATATTTCTTTCTTTCCTAAAGCAACAGGATCTCAGGACTGTTCGAGCTAGTAACATGCTGAGCCTTATGATTATCTCACTCCTTTGTTATTCAGATTTTACCTCCAGAAGCAGCACTGTTTTAAGACCTGGTCGCTGCACGAGATCCATAATTATTACAAATTTGTGAAAAAAACAAAAGATGAAAATGAAAATGGGTGTTAGCTACACGGGTATGATTCTACTATGGAGTTGTAGAGTTTCATTACGTGTGGCCATACAGACCAGAACCAGTATCTGGTAATGACTCCCAGAGACATAGCTATACCCAGAATACCCTTATGCATACTATTATCTAGCAAATCACCAAGGACAAATAAAAATGCAATGTTAGCCTATAACAGGTGAAGCATTTCTAGTTGATATGATAAAATATTAAAGCCAATGTACAATGTGGCTGTACGATGACAGAAGCCAATGCCCTCTATGCTGTCCCTTCAAGCCCTGCATTTCTGAAAATACATGGACAGTCATAGTGTGCATTAACTGAAGTTCTTGAGTGGTCCTGAAGTTGCCTGGTCAACGCAAACAACCTGCAGTGGTATCTTTGCATGAATAACTGCCAACCACCTAATAGGAGAGAGCTAATAGAGTCGTACTCCACATCCAAGTGGAAGGCTTCCAACCTATCAGCCAAATAAAGATGCATAAAATAAAGGCTGTCAGGGCTAGCATGATCACCTACAGTAGCTAGGCTCGAAAGAGCTTCTCAAAAGAACCCTCGGTTGAAATACTAACAATAAAAAGCAGAAGCAGACATTATCACCAGCCTGCTCCTTGACTATCAACAATTCCAACAGCATAGTCAAAAACTGGATTGAGAATACAATGCATGTTCATCCAAGTTACCTGTCAATAACCTACAGAGAAGATGAAGGTTCAGTTACGGTAAAGAGGACTGAGCCAAATACTCTGTTCATGTAAAGAATACCACTATTAGAAATAATCTCTCCATCCTCTCAGCGGCTTCACACAGGCGTTGGAACAACAGATAAAAAAAAATTTTGCAAAGTTTCACATGAATGGGATGGGGGTCCGTGGATAAAAATAAGTATTGGTCACCACATGGTTTCTCAAACAAAAGATGCTACTAAGTTCCATTAATGAACCTTAGCTATAAATTCACACAACTTCTGAATAAAACCTATTGAGATACCCCCTGCTTCACAGTTCAGCTGCACTGCTTATCTAAAGTTATTTCAAGACATGTCCATCAAAACAAATAATAATAAAAAAAAATATCACACTACCTTTTCGTCAAGAAATTAGATTTTAGACTATGTGGTAGAATAAAGAATTCTTTTTTTTACTTATTTCAGTTCTCATTTTTCAGGATTTCTGTTCTATCAGGTGTGATTAGCTATCCCTTTCACCAGAAGAGATTTTGTGTGCGCATACATGAGAGCATGAGTTCGTTATGTGTATCTACACATACACCTGTAAAATCTACTCCTTTAAGCTACCCATTTTCTGAAAGATTAAAAATGGCTTAAGCACATAAACAGCGTACAGTAAATAATCATTTGTATACAGAAAACAAACACACTTGAGTATGCCAGATAGAGCTTTCACCAGCTTAAATGCTCATTTTGAAATGAACGAGAAATAAATGATCCAACTTGACTGCCTGGATTCACCCACCAGACAGAAACATACAGGTGCATTTTATATGCTGACATCATATTACACAGACTAGCATTCTAGACACCAAACTGAAGTCCAAACGCTGTGTAGGTTTTGTAAAACATCTCCAAAGCCATCTAAAATCCTCAGACTTCCAGAGGCAAAGATTTAATCTGAAAGACACTTGAGCATCTTCTTATTCACCACAGTGAAGGTGTCCAAGTGACTTTAACTGCCCTCTACTAATTCCACACAGGAACCTTTTAACCACAGTGCTGATAATCATTTATTAATGATAATACATAAGAGCCAAACCATTTATTAATGATAATACATAAGAGCCAAACCATTTATTAATGATAATACATAAGAGCCATTTAAAGTGATTTTTGTGATTAAATATTAGGAACAGGGATTTTAAAATCAACTGATTCCTAGAGCTGGCAGTCCAGTAAGTCCCTAGTGCCCGCAGAGGGCCTTACTGAGAACAGTGCAGCTCAGTGAGAGTAACAGAAATTGGGCTTGGGCGGAAGGCAACTAATATAAAAAAAGGAGTATACTCAAGAATACCTTTGAATACCTTTAACTTCAGTGGCAGTCATTGAGAAAGAAAGCAATTATGGAAGTCGCCATAAGAGAATACTCCTTACCAGCATTTGCTGGAAAAAAAATCCCTGCACTCATGCACATCTTTTAAATATTAAATAAATTTCCTCAAAAGCAGCATATATACTTAATTACAACAGGCATCGATTTTGAAGGAAATTACGAGAGTCTGCCTCTATTCTTAATTCAGATCATTCTGCTGATTTTATTCTGGCTTTACGTTTTTTAAAGTATGCACTTTTGTTTGGATTTCACACAAAATAAATGCACTTCTACATTCTCAAGAGAATTCTCAGGTCTCAGTATCATATCTCCTTTGAAGGGGTTGCATTAAATTGCAAAACTAACCTCGACCCTAGCTGCTGCAGAATGTAATTGAATGTGTTTAGCTGCCACAAGCATTGGACCGCCGGTGCAAAGTGGTAGCATCCCTTAGGACTCACCAGGATTTACTCCCTGATCTTCCAGTATCGCTCCCATCTGGGGAACGGGCATGGTACAGGGATCCACCGCTCCCAGGGCAATGCATCTCCCTGCAACTTTCACTCCCAGTGGACATACTCTCTATGATGCTGTTAAAATATATGGTACTAGTTCCAAGTAAATACAAAGCAAACTTCGGCTGGCTTAAATGCTAAGATGAGCTTTTACTCACAGCTGTCGCAGAAACCAAGCTAAGAATGTAAAAGAGGCAGTTCACAGACATCAGGGGAAACTAGCTAACAACATCCCTTGGAGCCATAAAGTAAGTAGGATAAATACATTTAAGTTCTGAAAAGAAGTCCTGTCATATTTCTCCAGCACGGTACAGAAGAGCTTCAGATGGATTGGAGAGATTTGTTGCTGTAAGAAACAGGAAAAAAAATGCAGAATCTTTGTTTACCTAGGTCTGTGGTTTCTAAGTACCTACTTTTTACTACGTTCATTTCTTGACTCAAAGTGAAAATGGGAATTCACCCTTTTCTCTTTTTTTCCTGTCTAATGTGCAGATGGGGCATATTTTCGTTCACTCCATCAATCCCTGCCCCCTACGCACAAACTTGCATACATGCACCTAGCCAGTGGAAAAGAAAAAAGGGTTACTCATTAATCCATTCTACAAAGCTTTCCAAACTGAAATGGGTGGGTTTTACATCTCCAGTAAGGAGCAATATATAGGTAGGTATGTAGCATACCTGAGCACAGCTCAAACAGAAGCGTTCATCTTGAATAGCACAACTTTGCTCCTGGCACATTTTAAAACAAAGCTCATCAGTATGGAGAGGATGATTATTTTCTGTATGCTCTTCTTCTGTTCCAGTATGGCGCTGACTGCAGCTCCACATAAAATAGCAAAATACAAACAGCTTCTCAAGACAATTACACGGTTAGAAACCACAGTGAAAGATAAGGTAAGCAAAGTATTTGTCATAATATTGAAATTATTTTCAAGCATTATGTATTGCTTAGAATACATCTTGTGAGGGACATCACTTTCAAATGTTAAACTTTTCTAACTTAGATTTGTTTTATTGTAGGATGTTGAATTGCTGCATACACCAGAAAACCCTGCGGTGAGACTGCTTTAAAATTTCTTTCTAATTATATCAATTTGATTTTGTACTGGTTTATTCCATTGACAAATGGCAAATGCCGCCTTCTTATCTGTGACCTAGTACTCTCAATGCAAGCTAGATTCAGTAAGAAAATACTTTGATAGAAGGTCCTTATTTCTGGATTTTTAATGGCAGAAGTGTTTATATTATGTAATCTTAATTACTACTTTGCTACTGTGTGTGTATTCTAACACACCCACAGATTCAAATTTGTATGTATTCCGCTTACTCAAGAAATGGTGCTAAGAGTGAGGATTCATACAAGATCCAGATGAGCAGCAGTGCTCTTGGGGATGCAGGCTTTGGAAATGCCTCCACAGCTGCCATGAGCTCCGGCTGCACTGGGTGCATTGCTGAGCCGAACCCAAAGGGACCCCCCTTTCCCTCCCACTGAAGCTTAATGCCAAGAGTGGCACCGTAAGGCCGTATTTCAGAGCGCTTCCTCTCATATGTAGTCACATTGGTTTCTCTGAGGCTATTTGTGTGCAAACGTTGCACTATCAACGGGAAGATAAAACTGCATTCTGCAAGTACTCTCTTTGGATTGTAACTAGTTAAAATTACAAGAACAGGTCTTTGTAAATCCCTTTTTAATACAGATGTTTATTTATACATTATTTAGTGCTCATATTTTGCGTGTTCCAAGGTCAGGAACTTCTCATATGTAGTAAATTACGCCAGAGTCACAGAAAGTGTGTGCATACTCGAAAGTGGCAGGGTACAGGATTTATCGTGAAATTAAATGCTAATAATAGTAACAACATGTCTTAAAAACTTAAAAGGTAAACGCATCCTGCTTTCTTTTGATAATCCCCAACATGCAACAAAGGTCTAGAGCTAGCCGTGGCCAACCTAACGTTATACTTTGCCTGCTATCAGCTGTCTTAAATTTACTCGTAATTTTGATTTTTGAGCCCTGACAACTATTTCAGAAAGCAAACAATTTTGATCTATGTATAAAAATGATCCTTAGGCATAGTTCTTTTGAAAAACGCCCAGAGCGTAACGCTATCTACTCAGGACTGTAAACTCTCTTGCAAAATGACGACAAGAAGAAAGGAAAAAAACTCACCTCATTTCACACAGGTTTTGTTAGCCTCCTCCTAGGCTTTACAGTTGGGTGCATTTTTTACTTGCCAAAAACACAGAAGCATGACCAAAACAGATACATTCCTTCTCATTGCTAGAAACAACTGCAGTGCAAAAACCAAATGCACCCTAACTAATTGCTGGGTTTTTTTTTCATTAACACTCTTTAGAAAAGAAGGAGATGATTAGCTATCATTTTACTGCAGTTTGTCACTACCTCCGAAACAAAGCAAATACAACTAGTGACTAATCGCTTAACCAGTTGTGTTTTTTTTTTTTCTCTCAAAAAACATGGTCACCTCAGGAAGGAAGACAACAGTTCATCTGCAGCTTAGGGCTTTACAGTCTGATTCTGGGAGGTCCTAAGTACCTCTGCGGAAAACTATAGGAGACAGAGAATTCACATATTTAGAAGGTACTAAGCTGATGCAGGTTCAACCTCTGATGAAAAACTTAAAAAAAAATATTAGTGGCCTAAGAATAATTATCACCAGTAACCACATTAACAAACTTTTCATCCTGGAGGGTGAAATTTACATTTACTGAATTGTCCAAATACTAAGATACGAATTACAGTGTGCCAAAGCTGCACTCAGGGTGATTAAGTGCAATTACACCCTAATGAAACTGGATTTAATGAAAAGCCTTTCATATAACTGTGTTTCAAATATCAAAATATTGTTTCTATGATAATCTGCTTATAGCAGATTTACATTTGGCCTTGAATATTCAGGAGGAAGACTACCTTTTGTAACATTCAAAATTCAGTGGTTCATCACTATTTGTTTTGACTTCCTTGAGGTTCCCGTGAGTGGACTAAGAGTTAGCCCCAATTCAATCCCACACAATTTCTTTGTACATTAAACAATGAAATATCTTTTTTTTTTAAAAAAAAAAAAAAAGGAGGTGCGAAGTTGAAGGTGTCTCAGAGGACATCAACTCAAGGGAGAACATGCTGAGGCTGAAAAAGTAGCCTTAAGGCTGAAGTGGTTCAAGACCGGAGGGGAAATAAGATCTATTGCTGGTGAAGCTGAAGCCAGTGACACAATGTTGATTTACATCGGATCAGCATCTAACCCCGCTGATTGCTAATTCAGGAAGTGAAGGCTTTTCAGGCTAATCTGTAAAGTTAGTTTGAGTCAGATGCAGCATACTGCTGCAAATTGCCTCTGATACAAATATTTTACAAGTTTGCCTAGCCCCCCACAGACATTACCAGTGGTCTATGCTTTTTAATGCCTCTTCATCAAAGTGCTTAACCTATCACAACATACTAAAACCCACAATCCTTGTGGTCCTCTGACTGTTGGCCTGCCTACAGCTAACTGTTAACTCAGCAAAAAAAAAAAAAAAAAAAAAGGCAAAAAAAGCAGCATATATGAGAAATGCTGGTTTCTCAGCTCATCACGGATGAGGCAGAAAATGTTTTCAGTTTCAGCTGGAAAATTGATCTCTTTAAAAACGAGTGTTTTTTTTCCAGTAAGCAAGACTGGTTACGGTAAGAAGCCTGAAACAAACATAAATGTGTGGTTTTTAAGAAAAATAAAATGTTATATCTAACCAATATAAAATGTTACTATTAAAATTTGCTATAAGCAATGTACATGAAAGTTGCCTTGTCCTTGCCAAAGCAGCAAACTGCAGTGGCATCTAATAAACCAGATGAGATTCAGCTTCAGTAGCAGTTGGTATGCAAAACAGGGATGATGGCTTTGGAGCCTTTCTAATATGCGTAATCAGCAGTTCTAAATGTTTCCTTCTTTGAAAAACAGAATGCAAGTTAGAAATTGGCTTCAGTAAACACTGCTTTTCTTTCTCTGTTGACTATAGGTTAGTTTTGGTGATATTTTCCATGGCTGTGCGCCTAGCAAAGGAAAACAGCCACTATACAGGAAAGGAGATTCTGGAGAGCTTGCAGTCTTTCTGTTAGCATCAGTAAAATGAATACGCAGCTCCACCATGAAAGGAAAACGGCGGGTTGCTTTAATTCCAGATAAGCAGCAGCAACAGAAAATTTATATCATCAGAATAGATAGCTTCTTTTTCAAGTTAGATACAGATGGTGTTTACTTTCCTTGACTTAGGTTTAACAAGAACCTGAATTTAAAGCAACACTGTAAGACAATTCAAGCCAGGAGCCTGGCTCCTTATCCTGCCTCTCATCCTCAATCCCTCTTTTCCCTTTAGTAAGGTAACTAACTTACTTCATCATTTCCCATACTATCAAGTGAGAACATTTCAATAGTATTTGAAAATACGCAGTTCTACATCAATTCTAAGTATAATTATTAAGTAGGTAATATGGCACAAAAATTAGGAAGAGAAAAGTATATTCCCACATGTAGTACTGAGGAACACTCCGGAGTGATATCATAATATTTTAAAAAGAAAACACTCGTGCCTGTGCTTGTGAAAACTTACTACATGTAACATGATCTACTCTTCAGTAGCATTTTCTTTCATGTGCTGTCATGATTAATATCCAAGTGGACATTTTAGGCATTTATGAGGAAATACTTAAGTAATTATCAAAGAACAGGCAGAATAAAGGTTAAAGATCTCTTACATATCTAAAACTAACCTAAAAAAAAAAAAAAAAAAAGAGTACAGCTGAATCTTCTCAATTAATATCCTGGATACTTACTTTTGCACATGGACCACAACCTAACACATGCAGGAAAAAATGCTGCAACATTCATTTTAAAACTATTCCTTCTTTTCCTGCCCTAGGACGGATGCCTGTTCACAGCTGTGACCTGCTTCCACAAGGGCACACTGAAATTACAACCAGAGAACAACCAAGTACATTCTACATTCACCCAAACCATTAAAGTCTTGAGAAGATTCACCATCAGCGACCCTGGAAAGGTAGGATTTCCTCACAGTGCTCATAATTGTGATCATTGCTCCTTACACCTTCTATAGCAGACACCACCTGCAACGGTGGCATTGTAGCAAGCAAACTTGTTAGAAAAAGTTATCTGCCTTTCATTACTTTGGACATTAAGAATGTCCAATTTTCTGCACTTCTGGGAGAGGCGTTCACTCTGATCCTGTCAGTCAATTGCACGCGTGTATTTTGCAACCACGCAAGCCGGACAAAAGGACAGGGATTACTGCAAAACACGTGAACGAAATGTGTTGTTACTATATTCTTTCCCTTTCTGAAATAGCCTGTGTCTCAGCTTTTCCATTTGTAAAAGGCTTTGATTACAACCCTCTTGATTTTTCAAGTAAGAAAGCTTGAAGTATTATTTACGATTCTGATGCACTGTTTAGAAGTGGCATGATTTTCTTTATCTTCCAGCACTGTGAGTCTTCATGTGAATCTTACGAGAAAAAAACTCCCAAAGAGTTTTTGAAGAGCTTTGCAAAACTAATCAAACAGGTAATCAGAGTTGATTCCTCCTGGGTGCTTTTTGACATTTTGCAAACAATTACAGATATCCTTATTTTACACTATTACTAACAATGTGTTGTTTTTACAGTTACTCAAGGACTAATACAGGACACACCAGAGCTGAAGGATACTGAAAATCTACTATTTAAAGCAGACACTATGTTATTTAAGACAACATGAAAAATGTAAATATTTTCCATTGCTACTATGCTGTGCTCTGTGTGTGTGGTAAGTGAAAGCCTCTCCCAAAATATTAAGGAGTCTTATTTGGATGGCTATTCATAAGATGGATACTGTTTTGAAAGTGATCCTAGCCTCGCCTTACAGTGAAAATTAAATTGTAATTTCACAAAAATGGGTTTTCTTAAGGGACTTAACTATCACCTTCTGCTGAACTAGAAATACATGAGATGGCTACCTCTGTATTTTTGCTTTGCTCTTAAATGAATCTCATACAGTGATGTCTGAAACTTTTTAAAGAAAACAAAAAAAAAATTATCAGAGGCTTTGAAGCCTCAGAAAGTTTCTACTTGGACCCATTTCCTTATCTACAATAATACCACACACACAATTTTATTTATAAGTTCTTAGATTGTATCTTAGCTAACTATGAAAAAAATATCCTGCATTTAACTGTCTTATAAATACTGGAAAAACATTTACAAATCACACTGTATGGCATGGGTCTGACTGTGTCCATCTTGAAGTTAATGGCACATTTGCCATGGGTTGCAATAGGGAGAGGAGTAACCCACATGCTCTAAGTAGAGATACAGGATTCTGTGGGGAAAAACACATTTCAGAAGATGGAATTCCACCTAGACTCTCTCAACTTAACGTGATAAATACAGCAGAGGTATGACCAGCCACTGCAAAAGGTCCAACAAATACAGTAACTGATGATTATTCAGAGTGAAGCAGCTCAAATGCATATTGCTCTTTCTAAGAAGACAGTATTTTACACTCATATTCATGTACCATTAACACTATTCCTTCTCTCTACTCTTGATTCACTTTAACGGTTTAATTGCAATTTTTTCTTTAAAAACTGTCAAGTTTTTTGTTGTGTGGAAACCTGCCTGTACAGCTTCTGATTCCTGAACGTTTCTGTGGAACTATGGCCAGAGATACCATTGAAACTTTTTAAAGTAAGACTATCACAGCACTTTAAACTAGTTTTTAGCAGCTTAATTATATACCACCATATTCTGCTTGCAATGATTCTGTACCTCTAGACTCTTCCATCTGAGTAGTAACTGTTAATTTACCCCTGAACATATGTTAGCCCCACATGAGGAAACTGATCTTGGAAGAGAGTGTAAAGCCTTCCAGTAAAAATTAACCTTTCGTCTAATTTTCTCTCTATTTAGTAGAAATGTGGTATAGAGAGGAAACTGGAAAACTACATCTAGTGCTACAATGGAAAATGACAAGCTTAGTTACCTCCAAAAATAATGAGGTAGTATTAAAAACATTTCCATTCCTACCAATGTCAGCCTAAAGGAAAACTAATACAAAAAGCTTTTTTGCCTCCACATTTTCGCTGTCCTGAAACGTTAACCTCCTCAAAAACCTTTATCAGAGGAGGAAGGAAGATCCTCAGGGCAACAATGAACGAGGTTTCCACGGTGAACTCTCCTTGTTTCTGGTGATGACCATTTTGATTTAGATCATCTTGTTTTGTTTTGTTTTGTTTCAAAAACCACTTTTCCTCTGAGTAACGCTCTATCTCATACCTCAATGTTTCCACATTACTGCATGAGAATTAACATTCTCAACATGAACTACCACTCATATGTAAGTAAGGAAGCTACTAAGTTTAAAATGGTGTTCTGCACCTTTTATCCCCATTTCTCTGACTTTGCTACCCATAAAGTCCCTTAGTCACCAATTGGTAAGCAATATGCAAAGCTGCTGCTGCAACTGCAATGGATTTTAAAGTTACCGAAGTAGAGAAAATCAGGGTAAAACTAAATTTCAGATTTGAATAAAAACAACTGGGAAAATATTAAGGCAATCCTGCAGTCACAGAGCACCTGCTGATGTTTCCACAACGTTACATTTAAATTTTTATGGAGAAGTTTAACTTAATGCCTTTATCATGAACTAAGTGTGCTTTTTTGGTGAGTCCTAGAAGGGTATCCAACTTTTCATTCACTTCCATGGAATATTTGCACGTGCAGAGTTTTGGGGAAAGAGCTTGTTTTTGTACAAAGAATATAGGATGCATTTTTTGATTTGTAAATGTCTTTTCCAGAAATGCGCTAAGTGCATTCAAATCAATATTCTAAAAGAGCCTGTTAAAATTCTTGTTGCGCAGATGAAATGTGATTAGCATGGCCTAACAAAGAGAACATTGTATATTACATATTTATTAGTAATAATTGTAAAGCATTGAGAAGTAACTTTTGTACCTGGGATGGATATTTTACGATAGAAAAGCAATTTCCTACCAGAATGTCATAAGCTAACTAGTTACTCCTGCCTACACTGGAACAAGTTCTGGGTTTTGTACACGAGGTAGCATGTAATGCAGTAAGTAATGTAGCTATTTCTGTCTAGTGACTTGCTCCACTGTTTTTAAACTATGGATCTTACCACACCAAGCATAGTGATAAAGGGGGTTTTTTTGTTGTTTTAAGCATAATATACTCATTTGTTAATTGAGGCTATTTCTTGTACCTGCAGAACAACTTAATTCAAAACGCTCATTCATAGGATTCAAAAAATTAGTGAGAAACTGTAACAAATGTAACTTAGAGGGTTAATTGTTCTGAGATCTTGCAGAAAACTGTATTTATTGGACAATCCAGTCTAGATATGTATGGGGAATATTAATCACAAAATTATCAGAGCTGATTTTAGTTAACGCCACACTTCAGGGCAGTGTCGGCACAATCACTGTGGGCAACTGTACACTTCAAATACGCTTTGACTTGCACGATGCTGAGGCCTTGTGCTAACGCTTTCATTCGTCAGAGTTAGAAAGGTTGAGTGTATGATTCAGGATGCGTTATCTGAATCCCAAATGAAGAACAGGAAATCAGTGAAGGACAGATCAGTCTTCAAGAAGACATCATCTTGTTTTTTGACACTGTTCTCAGGAGAAAAAAATGAAGATGCCCCAGGAGGAACTTGTGACCCTAGGAAGTACTAGTTATCACAATTCCAGATGTGTACACAATCTTGACCTGTTTTTACTTTTAAGATGAACTCTGTTTGCACTCTCTGCAGAAACAACGTATGTTTCTTTAACTGAGTACATAGAGTAAGCCATAAAAGCTCATTACCTCCCAGGGAGGTTTTACAATATGTTTATGATTTTAGTCATAAGTGCCCTTTGCAGGCACGTCAAGATGTGTTTTAGCATGGTATATAAAACTGTGTATAATATTTACTTTTCCTGAGAAGATTTTTTTATTTTTATACCAAATGACTCATCTAATTTAATTATTTATTGTATTTCTGTGAATGGAATGTTCATACTAAGGACTATGTGGTCTGATTTATTTATACGCCTGTGATATTAAATAACTTTAGCTAATACGATTTTCTCTTGTTCTGTTCTTTAAAAACTTACGACTATTCCTACCCTGACAGCGTCCCATAAGACCCCGCAGTGAACGTTATTGTTTATTAGCCTACACTGTCATAGATTTTGCCAGATCAGGGACATGGTATACAAAGTTTATCTTCCCCCTCTTTGTATATAACCATTAAGAAGGGGTTGTTAATTTTTTATTGTTCCCATCTCATTTGAAAATCTTAAAATTTAAATTTTTTTAATTTATTAAATTAATTTAAAAATTGGCTTTTCAGGCTTAATAAACTGCTTTTGGCAAACTCATAGAAGGTTCAATCACGTCACCTAGATTTCTTTAGACTGACATGAACAAAAATCAGGTAACTTCATGTTTTCAGTCTACACAGAATAAAGTCAAACACCTGAAAACGTAACAATTATCCACTCTGTTTTTCACTGTTCTCTCTCCTCATCTTACTTTTCTCTTGCTTTGAAATGTCAATCCTTTTCCCCATCCCTATTTGATAGGATGTGTTGAAGTTCTCAAAAAATGAGTGTTTTTAGCTGTTATACTTTATAAGGGTAGCTATGTTTCATCTTTTATAAAAAAGCTTTTTTCCGTAAAATGTAACAATTGTTCCAACAAACAAACCAACCCAAAGCTCTAACAAAAACAAACACTAAACAGTTGAAGAGCTCCTTCTTCCCTTTTCATCTGTTCAGAAAACAGACTCAAATAGTATCACCTTCCATTATGTTTCCTGCCATTACACATCTGCATTTGTTGGGACTGATTTTCTTTAAAATAAAAAGAAGAAAAAATATCCTTCCGAAATAAACAAAAACAAAGAGGAAGTGTCACAAAACATTGGAGACTTGAGGCATAAACTCCTCCTGCCTGCAGGACAGAGGTTGATGTGCAGGACAATGCCGCTATGACCTCTCTCCTAGAAGGCAAGCAGTCCTGCTCTGCCCAGCAGGTATTCTCCTCTCAAAAGAAAGAGCCAGCAGACTGTCTCCCAAGGAGCTGGATGTGCCAGTTGCCTCCTGTTGGCTCCCAAATAGTTCAGTGGTGGCAGACTCCTGAATTTGCAGCCTAGATCACCCTGTAAAAGTGTCTGGAGAGAAGAGCAAAAGGATAGGGTCTAATCCAAGCAATCCCTCCTATCTTTGCACACAAGAAACCAGTGGGAGTCAGGTATGCTGGGATTCACCCAGAGTTAACTATTAGGCAAATCTGAGCCATCTCCCCACTCAGAAGCAGACACACTCAGGAACAAGTCATCTCACTCCAAACTAGGTATGTAATACAGGTGACTGGCAAAAAACCATAGGGAATAGTTCTCACTCAGATAACTACATATTTGATGCCTACTACTAGACATGATGAATCTCACTCAAACTACCTGGGATTTAGATGCAAGCCAAAACATTCAGAATACTTTCTGCAGCTGATGCAGTGTCTCCAGGTGCATATTTGCTAAATACACTATAGCCTCTCTTTCCTGGTATAACAATACTTGATTTTGCGCATATACACTGCTTTTATTTCTTACTTGAATCTCTCGGTATTTCCACCTACAGCTACAATCACATTAGAAAATACAGGAAAGAAAGTATTTAGGAGTAGACATTACTTTGCTTTGAAAGTCTAAGAAAACTGAAAAATAAATACAGATTAAATATGTAAGTAGGATTTCAGAAATATTATTAAAAATATTATTAATATTATTAGTGGCTGATCTAACAGTGTCTCTGCTGTGGGCAACTGACAGCATGTAAGTATCTTGACACTGCATTGTGGGAAGCAAACAGACCCTGAAGCCCTGTGGCCAGGCTACTTTGTATTCCTAAGTACATGGTTCATTGTCTAGACATATTCTTGTAACTCCAACTACAATACTACAGACCTCATAGAACCTGAAATAGATTGCACAGAAGCTTTAACAGAAGGCTTCATGCTTCTGGTACATTCAGAAGTATTTGCTGGAGCACAGAGGATATGTTGTGCATTGTATGGATATGGCTGGTGCAACGGAGAACAACAGTCTCCCAAACTGAAGACAATCGTGCTAACGCTAGAATAATTCAACTGTTTAACTCTGCTGAGACGTCTAGGCACAATTTTACCCAAATTGACCTAGATATCTGAGCACTGACGCTGCTGTGTAGATGTAAAAGAACTCCCTTTCAGAGCTAGAACATCTCAAATATGTTGGTTTGTACTGCACAGAAATGCCATGCTCTTTCTCGCAAAAAGGGTTTTTTTACACCCCCTGCATATTGTCCCAACAGCTGTGGGGGCAGGCAACAAGACAAAACTGTCCTACAGTGTTCTTCCTTTGCACTTGTGCTGATGATCCATGTTGTAAAAGGAGCAAAGGTGAAAGAGAACATTTCCTAGTCAAACATCTTCTTTGTACAAGCTAATAATCTGAATTGCTGTACTGCCACCTGTTGATAACTGTATGGAAATTCAAAACACTTCCAGATAAAAAACAGGTAAGCTGATAACAATTTATCTGTACATAGTGAACTGAGATCATCCACAACATCCCTCTGCATCATTCGTATACGGAACTTAAGACAACCCTCCTAAATCAGGGACTTGATAAGGTATGCAGTGAATGCATTCCATGTTCTTACTGCTGTCATTTGAAGGGAATAAGAGTCCTACTTCTGAATGTACATAAACACCAAATATTCACCATACCCTGCCTTTAGGCCCCTTGCCATCTTTATGTCCAGCAACCTTTCCTCCGATTGCTTGCTCAAATACAGTAGCATAGTGATGTTTTCTGTTCTCCATTCTTAATTCCTAACATTTAACTTGCTTTTTTGACTGCTCCCGAGCCACGAGTTGACAATTTTGTGCAAGCATCAGGTTACCCGAAAGTGTCATTCACATGTGGTTATGTACAACCACCGTAAAGTTAGACTTTCCCCTGCACAGACACATGCACATGAATTTACCCCTATCAACACTGAATTTCACCATTCTTTTGCCCAGTCAGTCTCGCAAGGTTTTTCCAGAACTTCTTATGCTCTGCCCTCGTCCTCGCTGCCCTACCATCAGCAAACTTGCCCAAGGTAATCTCTATTACAAGAATTGCATTACAATCAGTTCCGTCTTCTGTTTGTTATCTTTCAACCAATTAGTTTCCCATGCAATGACCCTCCTTTTAAGTCTACTCATGGCTAGAGTTATTATCCTTCAGGGAGGGACTCTGTCAGTATCGGAAATCCAAATGGCTATGGAAGCCAAATCACCTTTATCCATATGACTGTTAATCCTTTCCAAGATTTCCAATGTACTTTGTGAGGCAGGATTTTTCTTTCCAGAAGCCACAGTGACTCTTCTGAAGCAGATTACATTTACTCAGGTACCCACTAATTCAATTTTTTTTCTTGTAATGTCTACTAGCTTTCACAGTTTCCTAAACTCCTTGTGGAACCTCTTTAAAACATCAGCTTCCCATTTATTGCTGTCCAGTTCTCAGCTATCGTGGCAGTTTAGAGTGAGAGGTGACATGCCCCACCTGGCAATTCAGCTATTTCAGAACTCCCAGGCAAATACTGTCAGTGACCTGCTACTGTTTGTTTTAAAACGTTGTTCCACAGACTTTTTTTTAGCCATTCAGTTCCTGAGAGATCTATTGATGGTTTCCTCATGAAGAACGCTGCCAACATTCTCGCTTTATTCCAAACTGAAGAAACTTTTTAGTTTCCTCTACACAAATAATTAATTAGCTTGCCTTTGATAGTCTTATCCTCTTTCATCAGTCCTTTCATAGCTGATCATCATCTTACTAACACTCTTGGAGCATTTCTTGCTCCTATGTTTAAAAGAAGATCTAGTATTAATTTTTGCTAGATCCTACCTCAGACTCTTTTTTAACCCGTCTTTTATTTATTTTTTTTATACTGTATCTGCCAGTTTATCATCCTGTTTTCTTCACTTGAATACATCACCCATTTTCAGAAGGATGTCATAGCCTCCCTTACCATGCCAGTTAGCCTCTATTAGCTTCTCCTTTCCCTAAGAGGCTGTACAAACAGATGCTGTGTTTGTGTTCCCCCTCATTAACTGTCCAACAACCTATCAGGATTTCTCCTGCCCCTTTTAGTTTCTTTGTAAAGAGCTTTCTCATTTTTATATCTTTTCACCTTTACAAGATGATCTGATTCTCAAGCCTCTCTCTCTCCTCTCTTTCCTGTCCCCCTCCATGCCCATCCTTGATTCTCCATCTTTCTTCTTCCCATTCTTCTGATTTCCCACATTTGTACTCCAACTCCAATTCACTTTCTGCCTTGTGTTATGCTTCCTCCAATTTCCTTTCTGTTTTCAAGGATTTTCAGACACTTACATGGCGCATAAACATCAGCTGTACAATTCCATTAAAATGAAAAAACAATTGACCATAACTTTATAAGGGCCACTAGACATTAGCATTAAAATCCTTATTCATCACAACCGCTGTTTATCAACCGGTGTTAATTCACACAAGAAAAAACACGGCTCATGAATTCATGGCAGCCTCTCTAGGCTGAATGTCAAAGGATCATCCACGGGAGAACATCCTTACAACAAGGAAGTTGGAAAGACTTCCATTTTTAAGCCACAGAAGTAAGGGGGCCTCTCACAAACCAGACGTAAGGGAAGCTGCAGTACGTTTCATATGAAGCTCATCACAACAGATCAGACAAATGCTTTAGCACTGTGACATATCAGCTCTCTCCATCCTCCCTTCAAACCTTAAAACAACTGTAGAGACAATGAATGAAAAAGGGGTCAAGGTCAGAGCCAGTTTATATAAAGACAGAAGCTGAATGGAAGGCAGTATCTGCAGGGAGTGAAATACAGAAGAACGCGTGAGGTTGGCACACCAAATCCAGCACTTCATCAAATCGAGAAGCAGGTCCAAGCTTATGACTGCTACTTATGGATGGCAAGTAAACACAACGATGTAAAGACCAGATCATAGCACAAGAGGGCAGCAGGCAACTGAGAAAGGAAAACAGACCTTCTCCCCTTCCTCCTCCCCGCCCCAGCTTTTGAAAAATTAATCTCACCAACCCTTCAATGTAGAGAAATAATGTTCGAAAAGGTAATTTTTCTAAAAAGAGCTGCAATGCTCCCATTTCTGAAAAAGAATTAATGATCAAAAGTTATAAAGTTGACTTTTTCAATACAAACTGAGATACTTTAGGGTTCAGTGAACTCCTTAGGAGGAAAATCCAACATTTACCTGACAATGGCTCAAACTCAGTGAAACAGATCTGATCAGTCCTAAAGATAATTTTCTTTGATTAAGAGGATAATGCCTGCACAGACACTATTAATTCTGACAGGTTAAAAACAGGGACAAGGAAGAATATTAGGAAAGAAGAGAAAACATTATTTTGTGCATCAGGTGTTTATGAAGCCTACTATCACTGTGTTTGAGGACCTCATAAATAATTGAGATCAGCATTATTATTATTCCCTATTTTACCAATGGGGAAATAAGTCAGGCACAAAGCAATTAGACGGCTTTCCCAAAGCTTTAGATGAACTCTGTATCAGCGGCATAGAGTGAAGCAAAATGATGCTAATGAATCCAGTCCAGTACCTTTACCAGACATGTATGAAGACATGTAGGCATGACACCGAGCATGCACGCACTCATCCTCCTAACAGCTCTCCTAGTATCTTCTGAATGCTTTTCAAGGGCATGAGACACCCTGTTCAGACAGTGTGCACTTGTTAATGGCAAGGCCAATTTTAAATTCTTATCTGTAAGGAAGTAAGCTGGACGTTTCTACAATATTTTGCTCCCTCCCATACATATGGTCTCTCTTTTCAAGGTTGCTTAAGAAATAGAGAATATAAAGACACCAGTGAATCAAGTCAACACAGCAAGAAACATCTGGCTTACCTGCTGGTATGTTAAAAGCAACGTCAAGAAAACTAAAGGCTCTTTGCCTGGGTTCTGTGAGCAAAGAACACCCAGGAAACCCAAAACACCCATCATAATTTACTCTGCCACTCAAACATACTCTGTGATAAGACCGAACATTTTTGCAACATGGTGGGGTTGCTCCTCCCCCCCCCCCCCCCCCACAGGACGCATAAGCTGTACAAAACACAACCTGGAAAACTGGTATTTTTAAGCAAAAATATCTTGACTTCAGATTTTTTTAAACTGAAAATGGGCATAAACCTTCCTATGAAATTCTACAAGAGTTTGTTCGTGGTTCCACGTTGTGTTCTCTTTCACAGGCACAGTTGAAATGCCATGTACTTAGTAATTTCTGTTTCCTCTTCCTATATTCATTTCTTTTCCAACCTTAATTTACTCCCTCTTCATTCATCCTTTCACTTTTTCTTCTACCCTCCTTCTCTTCTTTAGATAAAGCCAGTTTAATGGTGCATGACATTTACAACTCCCTTGCATTAACACCATAGACGACAAAGCACTGGCAAATCTTGCCCCACCTTACGTCAGAGGTCCTTCAATACTCAGCAAAGCACTAAAATTATTCCCAGTTGCCACTGCACTCTGCTTTTATAAAAGGCTGAAAATGGCACATTACCAGCACATAAAACCTTTGTTGTTGGGATACTGAACAGCTAGGAAGAATCCATATCATTGCTAGCTTCTCAGCTAAATACAGCCCATTAATCACAAAATGGCAAAAGCCATTCATATGTTGGAATCTACTGGTTGAAACTATCATTTGAAAACAAATATACATATAAATCACAAATAAGAAGCAGAAAAATTTACAGGCTCTTTGCTATTCCTGGAAGAATTTACACTTCCCTTCTAACAGTTTCTAACACAATTGCTCTCTGATAGCAATTATGAGTTGCAGCACAAAAAAAAAAAAAAAGGCTAATTTTTGCAAGGAAACAGCTGTCCCAGAGTTAGAAGATAAGGCAGGGAGCCGATGGGGCAGGAAGAGGTGGGAGGGCTCAGTGGTTAGCAGGCCTCCCTTGGAGTCATCACCAAACCTGCCCCCTGAGGGGCTTGGTGCTGCAGTGGGCACCCATCCCATGGCACGGAGCGCTACTGCTCTCCTGGCCGTGGAGCACTCGGCCCATTTCTGAAATACTAACCTAGCATCTGCAGCTGAATGATACTTCCAAGCATTCCTTATTGGCTTACTGCCTCCCTTCTTGGTGGACACATCATTTTTGCTTGAACTCTGTCTCTTCAGGTGTCCCATGTTCTGTTAGACAGCTGCTACACTCTACTCCCCCCCTAGTTTTTTCAGTCCCCGCCTTTACAGGAGCATTTTTAGACAAACGTACATGAATGAAGTTTTGTTTGGTGAGACTAGCTTCAGAAATTCTTGTTCCCTTCCCCATCCTCATCCACTCTTTCAAACTCACTCAATCCCAACCCTTCACTGTTGTCTTAGCTGGGCAAGTGTAACTGCAACTGCTCTTCAAGCCTGAAATGATTCAGGTTAAAAACAGCCTTGGCTACCTCTAGCAAAAATACTTGGGGGTTGGGGGGGGTGTCTTCCCCCGCCCCATTCTTTCCATATTCTGTTTTACACCATGGCCCTACAAAGAGCTGAACAAATACCAGGTAACAACCTGACCTGGCAGTAAGAATTTTTTATGGCACTGAAGAACAAAGTACTGGGTACCTATTGACTCAAGCTCCTTTTCCACCTGTGTTTCACTGGGGCAGGGCTGGCTTAAACCAGTCCCACTTCTACCCCCTACCAGCCCCCAACAGTTGCATTTTTTTGCAGGGGGTGGTGTTTGGGGGAGGGCAAAGAGGCACCTATATTTGATCTGGGTCAGTTCTCTGAGCCAGACACATGAACTGGCACAACAACATGAACTTGCACAACAGCAGAAGCAGCCAGAGGATGGGAACAAGAATCAAGCGTCAGGAGAAGGCCTGACATCCACAGCACCTACCCCAGGTTGGGCTGCTCGCTGTAGCACTCAGCACAAACACAGACACCAACCTCACCTGGATTTGTTACTGATTAACCAATAACTGCCTTTAAAAACATGTCCTCCTTAAGCATGAGTGTTCTGCATCATAAGACTTTCCTTAAAAAGATGTTGTACAAGGCAAACTCAGAAGTGGACTGGGCTGGGAATTTTTCAGTGAAATGTTTTTCCACTGGAGGATAACAATTTGTTGAAACGGAAACTTTTCTTTGCAACTTTCACTGAAGCAGTCTGACAAAACTTTAAACAAAAACCACTTCTGAGGACCAGGATGGAATTTCTATTAAAAACAAGAGCATGTGCACAAGAGCAGGGCAGACAGCAGGTGTCAGGGATGGGCATTCCCTAGGGAAGTGACTGCTGGAGTTGGGGTCCAATCCCTGCTCTGCTTGATTTGGCTTCTCCATTTGGACGTGCTCCACCAAGATGCCAGAGGAGGTACCTACTCAAGAGGCTGTTGACTGCTATGGATCAGTCTCTCTCTCAAGTGTTTTTTATTAAAATAGTTGAAAGTTTTCAACATCATTTCAGTGTGACACAGGGAAAAAAAGGTCAAAATTGAAAAAATGACACTTCTGTAAGACGGAGAAGTATTTTCTAGCTAGTTCTACCTGGTTCTCGTAAGATTTACCTCAGTGTTTGAGACAATTCTCTGGCAAATTTCCCAGTCTGACACATATGCCTTATTTAGCTTTTAAGTAAAATTCAGTGGGC